GAGGAGAGAAAGAGGAGAAATTAACAGGATTTTTTCAGGAGAAAAATAATGTTGAGCCTTGGGCCCGGACGGTATTACAAAATGCTTGTTCAAATCCCAAAGCAGTGTGCAAAGCACACACACACACAAGGGAGAAGGCACCAGTACTTTCTCTATCAGCCACGGAGCTCCTCTGTCCTCCCCCACCCCAAGCACACCCTGGCAGGCTGCATTAGCCAAACTGGATAGAGGGGATTGGACTTGTTTACAGACACACCACTAGCCGCTTAAAGGGGCTCTAAATCCATGTTTGATGTGCAAACCACCAGCTTTGCTTCTGTGCCTTTGTCAAGCAGCTCTGGCTCTGCTCATCCTTGTGTTTGTGAGTCTCTCTCAATTAAGATTAAAAACGCCTTGTGCCAACACCCGCTCTCCAGGTAAGCCCCTCTGTGGTGCCAGTGCCTACCCTGTCTGCTGCCTGGCCTCTATCTGATTCATTTGGAAATGACTTCTAGATTCTCATTAGGCTCCTCGCCTGCCCTGCCCTCCCACATGCAGGCTCCCCTGAGGCATTCCAGCATACTTGCTCTACCTTTGCAGATGTTGTTAAGCCTCTTACTGAATCTCCCCAGCGCAGGCTGGCTCGGCGTGTTCCCAAGGAAGTACAAACCCCATTACATGTACTTTTCCTTTCTTCCTCCATTTGGCTTATTATGGCCCCATCGTGACTGCAATTTAATTAGCACCAAGGAAAGCATTCCCCAGCATTCTCCACTGCAGAACACCACCAGAAGGGAAGGATGCAGCCAGAAAATCAGGTCTGTAGGGCCAAGAGAGGAGAGACCATCCACACCTCTCAGGTACACTGGTCCAGGAGCTCTGGGCATCACCGAAGCTAATTTTTCCAGATAGGTCTACATATGTTCCCTTCAACTGCAATCCTGCAGACTGCCAGCACTTAGGTGAAATAGGTCACCTCTCTTCTCCCCAAAGGGAGTATCCCTCTGCCCAAGAGCCAACCTTACCTCTCAGCAGCTGGATTAGCTAGCCCCAGATTTTAAAAAATAAATAAAACCAAAAAATAAAGCATCCAACACTGTTCAGAGAAATAGGAGGAGAAAAAATGTAGGAGCTGGGTATAAACCCAGTGTAGACATAATCCCAACTTCAAAAGAGGAGCTGGGTATCATTTTGATCAATGAAGAGCAACAGAGCTGGCAGAAATGCACCCTTCCTTTACCCTGCATTCTCTGATCTTCCACAAGAATTTACTGCTCTTTAACTCTGTGCTGGAAACAACAAACACTTGCACACTTGAAATTTACACAACCACTTGGTGAACAGGCATTACCCAGGGACTATAGAAACCAGTGCTCTCTATCTTGCAAGCACAAGCACCTCCACTCCCAGTCACAAAGAGAAGCAGAGAAAGAAGCAGTGGCAGAAGTTTACTATTGTGAGGACGCAACTCTGTCAACAGTCAACCCAGAGAAGGAAGGAGAGTGTGAGAGACTGCAGGGTAAAATCCTAAACCAGTGAGATGCATTTCCTCAGCTAGTTAAGAATTCAGTTACAAACAGGGCAGCTCTTCCCGAAACCCAGGACCCCCTGGGACCTAAGGAAATCCAAGTGCATCAGTGGTAATTGTAATAAATCTGCAGTGCTGCAGCGCAGGCCCAACACGGGCAAGTTTGCTCCGTGATTAAGAGATCTCTGTAATACCTGAAGGTCCCCAGTGGGCCCGGAGCAGTGAGATACAGCTAACATGCATCAAACACATCAGAATATCTCAATCATTACCAGAGCTGACGGTGGCTCCGAAACCAATCGATAAGGGCAATTAGATTCTATCAGGAGACGCCTCTCGGCCACCTACTTCTGCTGTCGTTGCAAAAGCCTCAGCTACCCCTGCCAGCTCCAGGTCTCCAGATGTCTTGCTGAGAAGCACTGGCTGGAGCACATTTTTGCCTTTATTGTGGATTTTTGCTGTTGGCATTCTTTATTTCCTTTAAAGGTCCAGTACCAGGGGACACTTCAAACAGGAGTTGTCAGCTATTCTTATCTGGACGTCTCGCTTCAGTACACACACTAGTGGGGGGAACACCACTGCTCCCCAAAAATCTCTCCTATGCTGAATCTCCAGAAGAAGACTATAATCCACATCTATTCCACACTGTCACAGTGGAAAAACAACACAGAGGTCCAGAAGAGAATCTAGGGAAGGACAAGACAGGAAACTGAGCTCTGTTGTTCAGTCATCGTTTGCTTTATGATCTTAGGCAAATTTGCCTGTCTGTGCCTTGGTTGGTTCACACACCTCAACAATGTATTTGAAAACTGGTGGAAGGCATCATACACCTTATCCCACATGGCTGATGAAACTTGACCTGCTGACCACGTAACTCCCTCCCTTTCCCTTTTATCACTCTAGACTGGCAATAACACTCCTTTTTTTTAGTAAGTGTATTTTCAAAGCACCATAACTTGGTGACCCCAGACTCTTCCTACCTCTTAGAGCCTCACAAGAACCAAAATACAGTGACCCCTTCTGTCCCAGCTATCCCAAGCCCTAAGACTGCACCTCCTCTAGGCTTACTGTTCCAAACATCTGGCACCCACCACTGTGGGTTCCTGCACCAACCAAGGTGCAGAATTTGCAGTTTGAGCAGCCTCTGAGGTGTTCAGCCTCTACTGTTGGGACTATAGGCTTAACTTAAACCATAAATGTGAAAGCAGTGACAGAAAACAATTCAGCAGCAGATTCCAACTTACTTTGAGAGCACTGCATCATGACTGATGTGGGAGTTTTTAAACATACCAGCATTAACATCAGTTATTCAGCACTGTCCATCTTCAAATGCCTCTTAGAGGGTGAAAGTCTCACAACCCAAACACACAGTATTGTTCTCAGAAGCATACGATGCAACCAGCAGACACTGGGGGCACATTTCTTTTTCCCTTATTGTTGTAACTAAGTGGTTTAAACAATAGCCAGCCCTTTATACTACCCCAACACTAAGTTTTTTAAAATTATACATGTAGTAGTTAGTTATACCATTCTTTCCTCCCGCCCCTTCCAGTAAAAACAAACAGAATGAAGACATAAACCAAATAATCAGCATCACCTACAAATCCCAGCACATTTTGTTTCTGTTCCCTCTATTTCCATGTCTGGGAGGTGGTAACACAGGTCCCAGTTCAGCACATACTCTACAGTCAGAGCTGGCAGGTTCTGCATGGACTTCAGCAAATATGCCTTCCCTTAATCAAACAAGCATGTAAAGTGAGCCAGCTCCAGATGGGGGAAAATCAGAATTAACCTGCTCCTGTGGAGATGTGACAACACCCCCTCTCCCCTTACATACCTCCTCTCCTCACCATCACTCCACCTACTCTTTTACTGCTCAACTCTTGTCAGACACATCAAATATATCACGTCCTGACAAGTCTGGTCAGTTGGTTGGTGGCCTCGTGTGAACAAGCCCTCTTCTCTTGCGTTGCTCAGACTTTCCTGGGGGTCAGAGCCAAGCACTGCTGCCCTCACTTCTGCAACACATGTGCAGTGCCCACATTTCATATGTCTTACTGTTTCTGATGGCTAAGAAGCTAACCAGAGAGACTCAAACAGAAATTCTAACAAATAAGAATGAGGACTTCTGCATCTAATCTTCTCCACTGCTTAACACTAATGGAAATGAAAAGTATCCTTTGCATTTCTGGAATGCTATGGATCTCAAGGAATTTCAACAATGAAAGCCCAGCAGTTTCTCTGTAAAGCAAACAATATTAATAACCATTTAAACACACACGGTCAGCTGAGACATAAGACTCAAACAGGTCATACAGAAAACATGTCTCTCTGGCCAGTTTGGCTCTTAGAGCTGTGTAGGAAAAGAGGCTGTGGAGACTGGTTAACAAAGAGAATTGCTGGGAAAGCAAAGACTGGAGCTGTCCATGCTGCTTTACAGACACCTCACAACCCCCCAGTTCAGCACAACACGTTTACAAGCCTGAACACTTTCCTGCAGAAGTGGTCACACCAGCACAATTTTCACTCCAGGTAGGAGGAAACTTTCCGGAACTGAGTCAAACTTTATGCAAAATGCAAAGCAGGTACCCACTGTGTTACTATCTATCCTCCAAAGACATTCCCGAAGGGTATTTGGTGTGGTGTTCCCTTCAGATCCAGGGTTCAGTTACTGAGTCAATAGAACGACTTTCAAGAAAACATGAACAAAACCACATATGCAGAGATTTTCAGGAGAGGCCTACATTAGCATACACAGAGAGATCCAATTCTTATTTGGAAGGACAGGGATTACTCACTACAAAAACCAGCATTACTCCTAGTTTTTCAGCAACTTTTATTTCTAATGAAAGCAAACTGCAGATTCTGCAAACAACAAACAGATCTCCAGTTTATTACCAGTGCCTCACTTGTCAACTGATGCATATCTACCACCCAAGCATCCTTGCCCATAGCTCCCTTACTGGCATCTGGAGAGGCACGGTGCAAGATCCAAGAGGAGCATTTCTGGTTCTACCATGTTAAGTTGAAACCAGATAACTTCCCAAAAAAGCCAGGTAGCACTACAAAACCAAACACCCTCATAAAGGAGTAGGCAAGCACAGAGGCAGCACAGGGAACCTCTGATTAATGAAATTACAAATCAAACCATGCTCTCTGCAAGGCCTTTCTGCTTCACTTGACACTAACCCTGGGGACATTTCAATTCTTCGCTGGCGCAAGCTCCTTTGCCAGTAGTTTAACACAGACCACTAGATTTGAGAATAACACGGGGCTGAGATCTCAAAAGGACTTTAACATCACCATGAAATCCTTTCCATATTCATCTTCAGCCAGAATATTAAAAGCCTTCATGTAGCTCACTCCAAAGTGTAGCACAAACAGATGCAGAAGAAAAAACAGTTGCTGAAAAAATGAACAAGTGGGGGGGGGGTTGAAAGAGAGGAGGGAAGCCAGCAAACCCAAACCAGCAGGACCTGCTCCAGCTGCTTACCTGCTGCTCCCAAGCCAACGTCGATGCTGTTTCTCTTGAATTCACAACGGCTCTGGGTCTCTGGCATAACGAGCTGACGACTCTGATGCAGGTTGGAGATGATAGTGGAAAGGTCGTTATCACGGCTGCAACAGAGCAGAAAAGCACCAAGTTAAGGAAATCCTATTTGCCACCACATAATTGATTTTTGTGTGTGTGCGCGCGCAGGGTTCTTCTGTTTGCCCCCTCAGAGCTGCACTTCAGGAAAGGTTCCCCCCTCCTCCCCACCAGGCTCCTAGGTAACCTCCTCTGGGCTGAGGGAGCAGACACTAAGCGCAAAGTACTTCCCAAACAGAACTCTCATTTCCCATAAAGGGCTCAGCAGCTGCCAGAGCTCCTGATTTCAGTTTTGCCAGATATAACTTGCGTGGGCCAGAACTTACATCTCAGATGGAAAAACTGAAAGTGTAGGAATTGGCAGATCTATTCCAGAATTAATAGGAAACTTGAACAGAACTGATAGTTTTCTATCACTTGCCACCCTTCTATTCTTGAAAAAAAAGTTTTTCTGTTCCATCACTTACAGAACACAAGGCTACTTTATTTAAATAAAGAGTAGGTTTTCTTTTCTGAAACCCACCATAAACCCAGTCATGAGCATCACTCAGAGCTGAGGGTTCAGATTTATTAACAGAACTAATCTGCCACTCTTCACTCTAACAGACCCTGAAACGATGCTCCTTTCCTTCTGGGACAAGAGAATGCACTAGAGCAGTTCAGCATTATTTTGCCTGTTATCCTTGCATCAGATTTCTGCTAAGTAGGGTAGTTTAGTCTTTTTTTTTTTTTCCCTTCTATGGAGAGGCAGAACACAAACATCAGAAGACATTCACTGTAGCAGATACAGCAGTTCAGCTGGCAAATGCTTTTGCTTGCAAATCGCTACCCACGTGAAAAATATTTCTGAATAAATGATACACAAAGACTGAAGAGGAAGAACAAGCTACAACGTATACATGATGCTCAACGGAAATGCTGGAATGTCTCCCTTTGTTTGTTTGCAGTATATGTTAAAACACCCATCCTTCTCCCACAGGGTGCCTGCCCCAAGCTAAATGTGGCAATTTTTCTTCCTCTCCTCTTTCTAAATGGAAGATGACAGCCAGGAGAACCAGAGACACTCACAAAAAATTATACATTTTAGAAATATTGCCCGCCCTCCCACAGCCACAGCTCCCTCCCCACCTCTACTCACATGACAAGTGCACCCACTCTGTGCTGCTGTGACACACAGCACATGACCACCAACTCACTGGTGCAGAGGAGAGTGTCCTCACCTGGGACCAGCAGGACAACCCGGAGGGTGCATTATCTGCAGAATTACCTAGCAATGATCTTCCTTTTAAATATCCTCCTCTTATCCCCCCTTACCTCCCCCCCACCTGCTGCACCCCCACCTACAGGCTATCAGCACTAGCAACAGGAGCAGATCTGCTCAAACGCTCCAGAGAGCCCATCTCCAGTGCAGAAGCAGGGGCTAATCTGTCGTCTAGCTCTCTGCTAATCAGATAAGTTTATGACAGAAAGTCTTTAGACAGAGGTACTTTCAGCGGGTGTCTGGCTCCAGATTTTCACAAGATGCAGCAGACAAAAACAGACTCTTATTTCAGCAGCCGCTGTCATGGTCCCTGCTGCTCCCCCCACCCCCAGGCTCAGCAAGGAGATAGGATGCTTGGATCTCAAAGCCTTTGAGCACCCATTGCATCTTCCTCCGCTAAACCAGTTCAGATTCCTCCTTATGCAAGCAGAAGGCTAATTACTTAAGCAAGCCCACAGGTGAGTGGGAAGCCCATTTCTCCTGTGCCAAGCAGTTTTGGGTCTTATCCTCTTTTAGCTGCCACCTTTAAGATGCATTATGCAAATATTTTGGTGTCTTAAGTCATTTATGGGATTAATGTGAAGTGATTATCAGTTCTTTTTAATCATGCCAATCAATAACTGGATGTCAGGGACAGAGGACAAATGCAGATAAATGCTGCCATCAGCACAATGCTCAGGAAAGGGCGGAGGAGATGAGCAGAAGTAGAGAGCGAGAAAAGGAAGGGAGTAGGAAGAGAAAAATGGGATAATTACATCTTTGCATTTGCAGAGTGCCTTGCATCCCAATTGAGCCCAAAACACCTCTGATACATAAACACATTAAGAGACCTATGAGAAGGAATTGTTTTATCCACTAGTAAAATGCAACCAACCTCTCTTTCTGGAAAAGAGCAGAACAACTCCTTAACATAACTTGATTCTCCAAAACACAAAGACTGCAGAACATTGTGACAAACCCACTGTAAATTAAAACCAGGAGATCTGAGTGGAAGGAAACATTACCACAAGAGAATTATCTTCTTCTTCCCCAATAGAGATATTTTTAGGAGAATTTCATTGGCCTTAAAATTATAATCATCATGGTATGCAAAGGTGCATTAGCAAGTCATAACTCCACACATGAGCAGATACCAGAGGGCTTACAGATACACTCTACAGGCTTTGAATTCAGTTCAGCTACCCATGCAATTAGGCAGGATCCCAGGAAAACACTACTCTGTTGGAATACATTTGCAGAAGGCAAACTGAACACCAGGGTGACACTGAGAGGAAAAAAAGACTAGATATAAGGCAAACACGTTGAGACAGCTTTTAAAACATCAAGCTGTCACTAGACTTTGTTCCTTTTGCCTTAGTGCACGGGAGGTGTGAAGCAGAGACTGCCTTTTTGTTCCCGGCTTGTTCTACACCTGGCACAATGGGAGGCAGCTTATAGCTGGGGCTCAGTCTTAGCAGGAGAGAGGAGAGTGAATGGTAACCAGAGGATCTTGTGAAAAACTGAGATACATTTCTGCATTGGGTGAAGACTTAAAAGCACTTTTAAAAAATAACACAGGTCAAGCTGGCCCAAACAAACAGCTCCACACAGCTGCAACCAGTCTCCAGTGACTGTGAGGGCTCTGATAATGGCTGCACTTGTGTAAGGCTCTGCTTGGGCCACAGAGAACTTTCTACCACCATGTTGGATCAACAGAATAAAACACCAGCTTTGGTTCTGCAGCTGACAACTCTGCCATCTACTCCTTACCCATGACTGTGTAAGACAGCAAACAAACATCCTTTTTACAAGAAAAAATTGGCTTCATCCTGGCTGAAACCAGCACAAAGAGACCCTCCTGAATCTCCACAGAGCAACTTCCAACTAACTGCTTTCATCATTTAATAAAGCTAGTGAAAATCTGACCTTTAATTGAGCCTCAGCTCTTCAGGTACTCTACCAGTTGCTCAGTACCTTAGCCAGGAAGGAGGAATTTTCAGAAATCACCTTGCTTTATTGCACACTTGGACCGCAGCACCGCAGCTGCAACCCCAACCCTGAAATCCCACTGCCTGCTGCTGGTCAGCCCAGCAGGAGCACAAAAGACACAGCACTACCACAGGCTTGGGGAGATCTGCTTGGTCCATACACCAAAAATTGCAAAATATGAGTTTTAAGTCCAGCCTGGCCAAGCTTCTCCACAGCTCAGTCCTGCCCTCTGCCCTCCAGCCCTGAGGGGAAGGCCTCAGCCACACCACACACATCCCCTCAGCCCCGCCACCTCCCTTCGGCCAGACAAACCCTAGAAACACACTTCTATCCTAAAATTGATTCTAAACATCCATACTTTACCACAGAAAACGGCTATCTTCAAATTGCAACCGGCCACTCACCTCAGCCCAGGTGCACAGGGCCCTGCTGCCCCCCACCTCCACTGCAGCTCTCACTGACCCCTCTCCTCTTCCTCAGCCCCACTCCTCATTCTTCACCCTGAACTGTGGGCTCTGGATTTTTGCACTTGTGTTCTCTAAAAGCAGCCCAGTCCAGCCCATCTTGCAGAGCACAGAAATGAGACCCTCTCCCTCAGCCCAGGCCACAGGGTGTTTATTCTCTGTGGGCTCAACTTGCTCAGGTACAGGTGTTTTCAAAACATATCAAGTCTCTGGGGAGAAGGCTATTTGTTCTTCTGGGTTTACACACCACCAAACTTGCTCACACTAACCCTGTCACATACAAAACAGGCAACAAATTCAGGGGCTCAGGGCTCCAGCATGCAGAGCCAAAGTAGGATTAAAGATCCTTCCCTCAGAGAGAATACAACAGGGAAAACAATATTGAGCGTGCAGGACTTCAGGTCAAGATCCATGGACTTTGGGGATACCAACATACATGTAGTAACGCCTAAAATTCGGCTGCTTGGTCTGAAGACCTCACCAGCAAGAGCACAACTCCTGCATGACCTCAGTGGGAAGGAGCCTGCACAAAGGAGACCGGAGAGGCTGGTCCTTCCCCTGTACAGGATGCTCCCATCTGTCTGCTGAAGCCACTAATTCCACCCAGGTGCTCACTTGCAGCCCTGGCAGGGCAGAGTCACACTCTGCTTTTCCTTTGTCTTGCCTCTGAGCCGCTGCTGGGGGCCGTTAATGCTGGAGCTCCCCCATCCATGCACTGACACATGCACACACAATCAGATTAAAGGTCTGATCCCTTCCAGTAGCATAATATTATATTTTAAAAACCGGATTAGAGAAGGGGGCTTGGGCAAGATACAGATCTCCTGAAAGGTCAAGGAGGAGACAGCCAGCCTTCTGTAGGGCTGCAGGTTGCCGTGGCAACATTCAGTTTGCATGGGTTTTGGTAATTAATGGTTTGGGGACCTGCACTAATACAGGTATGTTTTCAAGCAGTAGGAGAGCATGTCCTGAGGCATGGCTGGCTGGGCACTTCCACCTCACAGCAGCAAGTTTTGTTCTTGCAGGAAAATGAAGGGTAGGAAATGGAGTACTCGCTGTCAGGGGTTGCAGAAGGCATGTGGCTGGTTGGCCACATCCAGATTTGCTTTCAAACTGGGACTCAGCATTACTGACAGCCTGATGAGACCTTTCTGCTGATACCTGGCTCAGGATGATTGAAGCTCTGGTCACAAGACATGTTTTTCCAGTATTTCTGCTATTTTGGTGGGCAAGGTTTTAACAAAAGAACTTGCAGCACTACAAGAGTTTTGAGTCTGAACTTTAAATCCACTACACATTTAATCTCAGTCCAGAACACTAAAATTCACCCTGTCCT